ATCCTCCCACCACCCTTGTTCTTGTTTCTGCTGGCGGCTTGCATTACAAGTTGAGTTTCAAGGGCTCTGTCTTGGTCTTTTGGGGTGCATCCAGAGCAGACTGCCATCAGGTTTCATGGAGGGGACCTTTTTTCTGTATGGGGATGTAGCTTAGTGGTAGAGCACATGCGTTGCATGCAGAAGGACCCAAAGGCAGCTAGCTCCCTGTGTTTCCTATTCATCACTGTCTGCCTGACCTGTGCTAATCTTCATGTGTTTCCTGTACCTAAGTTTGAATTTCCTGGCTAAAAGGAAAAGGAGAAAGCAACAGGTAGACAGAAATTAAGGAAGAAACTGCACAGAGAAGGGGGTAGTCACTTGGTTCTGTTCCAAAAAGACTATTTTTTTTGAGGGGGGCAGATTTTGGGACCCTTCTTCTTTCCAATTTTCCTCATTGTATGTTAGAACAGTGATGGACATACCAGCCTACATCGGTTCCATGTCAGATTCGCCAGCACTCGCTCACAGATCTCTTCCATCAGCCCCCTCCTTTTTGTACAATTTTCAAAAGAAGACACACACACACAATCGAGATGTCAATGGTACACATTTTGTATACACTCTTGTATAAATACGTCTATTTGTGTGTATGTTTTGGGGACCGAAACGGCAGTGCAGAATACACAATGAATAATGCATCTGAAAGAAAGGTAAGGTAAAGATAAAAGGACCCCTGACCATTAGGTCCAGTCGTGGCCGACTCTGGGGTTGTGGCGCTCATCTTGCTTTACTGGCCGAGGGAGCCGGCGTACAGCTTCCAGGTCATGTGGCCAGCAGGACTAAGCCGCTTCTGGCGAACCAGAAGCGAACCGTTTACCTTCCCGCCGGAGTGGTACCTATTTATCTACTTGCACTTTGACGTGCTTTCGAACTGCTAGGTTGGCAGGAGCAGGGACCGAGCAACAGGAGCTCACCCCCTCGCAGGGATTCAAACCACCAACCTTCTGATTGGCAAGTCCTAGGCTCTTTGGTTTAACCCACAGCACCACCCAAGGTAGCAACGTATAAAATGATGCATGCCATGTGGGGGGGGGGCAGACAGAAGCTTGTCTGCTGCCATCATAATGGTAGAACGTGGGGTCAGCCAAAAAAGCTAAATGTTAGAAAATTCAGGAGATGAAATGAATTACTTCTTCACAATGCCTATAGTTAGACTATGAAATTTGCCAACAAAGTCAAGTAGACCACTAGCCATGAGAGCTATTGAGAGTGTGCTGCCTAGTTTCCTGTGGCTGCTGTGGGGGCTGTTTGTTCTGTTTTTATGGTATTATATATTTATGTTTACATTTTTAAGGTGTGATAAGTCACTTGGAGACCTTTGAGTACAAAGAGACTAACCAGCCTAAAAAACAACAATAGATTTATAATATTACTGTCAGTACGAGAGTCAGGATGCTTCTCTGAATGTTAGTTGACAGGGATCATGAATGAGGGAGTGCTTTTTTAACATCAGTTTTTAAGGCCTTTTTGGTGTTACAAATCATATAAGCATGGGAAGGTACATCTATCGCCTCCGCTTTCAATTCATAGAGTCTTTTTCAGAGTTCGTTTATACTCAGTGAGGTACACTTTTGTCATAGACATCTTGTGGTTGGTGGGTGGAAAGAGAAGGGGAGAGAGAGATGGGGGTATTATCCTTTCATTCTGTTGCCTACTGTTAGTGTAGGGGTTTGTGTCAACATCACCTGGATAGGTCCTCTATTTATACATTTATTTTTGTTACTATTGCAAGAGATTAGGGGGTCCCTAGATTGGTTGGTTGGATTTGCAGTATGGCTTGCTTGTGGGGAGGGTTAGGTTGTTGGGCCAGAGTAGCCATATTGATGAGTTCCTGGAGGATAACGCTATCAATGGCTGCTTGTCATGATGGCTATATTACTTCTACTGACAGAGCAGTATGTCTCTGAATACCAGATACTAGAGATCACAAGCAGAGAAAGCACTGCTGCTGTGTCCAGCTTCTGGCTTTCCATTGAGCGTCACCACCCCCATCATTCAGCCCAGACACTGAGGTCCAGCTCCGAGGGCCTTCTGGCGGTTCCCTCACTGTGAGAAGTGAGCTTACAGGGAACCAGGCAGAGGGCCTTCTCGGTGGTGGCGCCTGCCCTGTGGAAAGCCCTCCCATCAGGTGTCAAGGAAATAAACAACTATCTGACTTTTAGAAGACATCTGAAGGCAGCCCTGTTTAGGGAAGTTTTTAATGTTCGATGTTTTATCATGTTTTAAATATTCTGCTGGGAGCTGCAGAATTATTATTATTAGTAGTAGTATTAGTATTATCAGTGCTTTTTTCTAAAAAAATGTTTAGGAGTACTCTCATTTTGACTCAAGAAAATCACCATTTTATAGTTCAAATTGGGAAAAATAAATACAGCAAATGGACAAAAGTACAAAGATTCACAAAATGTTTAGCGGTATGTGTACCCCTGCATCCCCCCAGAAAAAAACACTGGTTATTATTGCATAGACAGGTGGATTCCCCCCAACCCCAGGCGACCCCCGAACAGAATAATGACTCAAGACATAGTGCTATGGGATTAAAATTGGCCACAACTTTATTAAGTTTTAGGTGTAGGGAGACCTTGGCTCAGGTACTGGGCGTTTATCCTTCCCAGTCCCCAGCCGGGGATCTGGGAGACACCAGGGTTATCCAGAATGCGTGGGGATTGGGCTGGCTCTGGAGAACATATATTCAAGCAGAGAGCCCACTCCCCATTTCACTGCCACTGCAGGGGAGAACAATGACAACCTCTCGGCGTATGGCCAATGCCTCCCCTCAAGACCCCTTTAACGGAGAACCCTGGGATCACCACCGCAAGGGGGGCGTGGGTCACCGCTTCACACCCCCATTTAGGAAGATAAAGGATTCCGCCCAAGGCCTGAAACCACCGAAGTTGTGACGGTTTGCTATGAGAAAGGCAAAACCTGCCAATGCAGGAGACTTCCTTTCCAGCCCTTCAGCAGCTACCCTGACGTAGCAGCGCCCGCGTACCTGTGGAGAAGAGGTTAACCTGCAAAAGAAGGCTTAACTGAGGGAGGGCAGGGTGGAGCCAACTGATGCTTCACAGGTAAGATTCACCTTCTGTTGTGTGGGCAGGGCAGTCCCTCCCCCTACCTGGCCGATCCCCTGGCAATGCCTCCCCAGGCGGGATTGGGTGATTGGCTGAGGTAGGCGGAGACTTCCAGGTATCCAGCCTGGGGAGGGTGAAACCAGTCTGTAGTACCAGGAGCCGCACTGGGATCCGGGGGGCTGTGCGTGACCATGAAAAGGCACCCCCCATTTGATGTGGGGAGCAGCCATTACTACCTGGTTGGCCAATAGGAGAATCTGACCAGAAAAGCCTTTGGCCTGACCCAGCAGGGACCTTCTAATGTTCTTATGCTCCAAATATTTATAATTCACTCTCACCTCCCCCCTCCCCCAATGAAGCTTGTATTTGGCTGCCCTTTTGGCACCCCCAACTCTCCCCTAAAGACTGAAAAACGATGGGTCGAATTCTTAGGCTGAGCACTAAGTGCCACGCAGGATGACTTTGCAAAATCTCTTTCTGGCATGCCACAGGACCAGGCTTGAGAGAGGTGTTTGTCGAACACCCCAGAAAAGTACGATCTTGGAAAAAGATTGGCGATCTCAAATCTTTGTTTAGCCAGGACAGTTTTTATGGCTGCTCTAATTGTGCCACGCATTGCCACGGAGACAGGAGACAGGCGAGAGGGTCTGATGGTGGCTGGAGTGTCAGAAAAGGAAGAGTGCCAAGACAGAGGACTGCATTGGGAGGATTTAATATTGTACATAAATACACTTTACAGTCACAGAAAGCCTGTGCGCAGAGAGAAAAACTATTGGAATATTTTATAGTGATGCAGATCGAGTGAAAAGCCTGTGAATAAAAAAAGAAAGAGGAAAGATAATTATTTGATGGAGTTCTCTTAGGATACGCCACAGCAGGGAATACTTACAGAGAATACATATTACTGGAGAGACACAGCTATTCAAGCATCAAACTAACCTATAAATTGTCACAGGAGAAAATTGGAGGAGAGAAATGGAGAGAGGCTGTAGTGCCGGCCAGATTATTAACGTCGGGTTCCGCTTCCTACCTCGCCCGCTGCAGTTGTCTGGAGCTACACAGCCCCACAAAAAAAGGGGGGAGAGAGAAGACCGCATCTAATAAATGTCTAACACAAATTATGGCTCAAGCACTACAGTAAAAAGATGGCATCATTTATCTCTCCACCATCTGCACAGGATCATTTGGCCTAGTGGCGGCATCCTGGGCTGACTGAGAAAGTTTTATTTCATGCGCCCGGTTTGGCGGCTCGGTTCTTCTTTGAAATTCGGCAGTCTGCAAAGCTGCCTCTGCAGCTTCAGCCCTGGGATTGCAGAGTCACTGGCAGTTCTTTGGCCTGGAGTTCCACAACAGCAGGCTGCAATCATGCAGGGAAAGTTCTTGCTTAACTCAAGACTGATAACAAACCGCTTTGCAGGCAAGTGAGAAACCTGAACAACACAGTTCGGAAGAACCGCCACCATCTCCCTTCTAACCTAGAGCGCAACATCACCAGCCATTTTTGAGCTGGGCAAAATGTTGGGAGGGCTGTAAAGGTAAAGGGTAAAGGGACCCCTGAACATTAGGTCCAGTCGCAGACAACTCTGGGGTTGCGGCGCTCATCTCGCTTCATTGGCCGAGGGAGCCGGCGTACAGCTTCCGGGTCATGTGGCCAGCATGACTAAGCCGCTTCTGGCGAACCAGAGCAACACACGGAAATGCCGTTTACCTTCCCGCTGGAGTGGTACCTATTTATCTACTTAAACTTTGACGTGCTTTCAAATTGCTAGGTTGGCAGGAGCAGGGACCGAGCAACGGGAGCTCACCCCATCGCGGGGATTCGAACCGCCGACCTTCTGATCGGCAAGTCCTAGGCTCTGTGGTTTAACCCACAGTGCCACCTGCGTCCCGGGAGGGCTGTATCTCAGTGGTAATGTATCTACTCTTCATGTTGACGGTCCCAGGTTCAATCCCTGGCTTCTCCAGGTGGGGCTGGGAGTGTCCCCTGTCTGAAATTCTGGAGAGGTGCTGCTGATCAAGGTGGGCATAGCAATACAAAAAGAGCCTCCTGGATTAAGCTAGTGGCCCATTTAGGGCATGAGACTTTGCCACACAATATATTTAGAGCAATGGGAGAAACGTTGGCAGGAAGATATAAGATTTACCACCTATAGTACAATAAAAGAAAATTTCATCAGAATGTTCTACAGGTGGTATTTAACACCAGTCAAATTAGCAAAAATCTATAAACTGAAATCCAACCTCTGCTGGAAATGCAACAAGGAAGCTGGTACAACAATGCATATGTGGTGGAGTTGCATCCCGATTAAGAACTTCTGGGAAGAAATTCATGAGGAGTTGAAAAAAAATTCTTTAAATCCCATTAACGAAAAAACCAGAGGCTTACCTACTGGGCCTCTTAGGAAAATAAATACTGATATTGAAAAAAGAATTTTCTTATACGTGACCATCGCAGCTAGGATAGTAATAGCATCTAAATGGAAAGCTAAAGAACTACCTACCAAGGAGGAATGGATTCTCAAATTAAATGAATATTTAAAATTGGCTGAATTAACAGCATCCGTACGACAGCAGTCAAATGAAAAACTAAAAAATTAATGGCAATGCTTTGATGATCATATGGCAAAATATTGCTCTAAAAAAGACATGCTAATATGCTTAGATTAAGAATGTAAATGCATCAAAACAATAAATTATCAATGACATATGTATGTATATAGAGAAAATAAAAACAATCAGAATGCAATGATAAGGGTAAAATTGATTCTAGAGAGGACGAGTAGCGGTGGAGGGAAATTAAACAGGGTGGTGGGTTTATTTTATTTTGTTTATTTTGTTTTCTTTTTTGGATATTGTATAATGATTTAATGTATAATGATTTAATGTTTCTTTTCTGTTATGTATTCTTTCTCTGTTTCTAGCATTCGGAAACATTACTGCCTCCGACTGTGGAGGGAAAGCATTGCCATCATGGGTTCCAGCTGTAAATAGCTTTTGCCTCCACGAATTTGTCCAGTCTTCTTTCAAAGCCATCCAAGATGATGGCCATCACTGCTTCCCATGGGAACAAGCTCTACAGTTTATGTGCCAAGCTAGGTGGGTCATTGGTCTGGTTTCATTTATGGCAACATCCTACGCTCTTCCTGCCACAAATAGGGCAGTCAGTCAGACCTTGATGCAAGCCAAGTTCTTGAGCAAATCCCATTCATCCCAATGGGGGCTGTGCCTTGAATGCTGCATTTTCCAACACCCAACTGTAATTGAAGGCCATTGGGAAAGCACAGCCTGCTGAGCAGCTATGGAAGTTGGAAAATTCCAACAGAAATGAGAGCAGAAATATTTGTTCCATATCTGGAACAGAAATCAGGACAATGAATACAATTGGTATTTGCTGCTGCTGCTGTTTTCAGGTCTCAGTTGAGACATAATTGAAGCCCCCACATTTGTAATGTGTTTCCTTAGCACTGGAATTCCATAGCACGGAGTTTAAGGATCGGTATGTAGGATTCCTCTGGACTTCTTGTGCCAAACAAGAGAGAAGGGGCGTCTAGCTCTCTCAGTAAACAAAGCTGAAAGCATGTTGGGACTCCTTCCGCAAGGCGGTGTCATCATCCTGAGGCCATATGTAAAAAGGCAGGCATGCAACCTGTTCTAACTCCTCACATGATCAGATCAACACATTTGTATAACTCAAGGCACCCTTGTTGCATCAACAGGGAGAGATGAGCATAAGAACTCGAGAATAACTCTCTTGGTTACAGCGTGGTGCTGATAATGCCAGGGTTGCAGGTTTGATCCCCCGTATAAGACAGCTGCATTGCAGGCAGTTGGACTAGATGGTGCTCAGGATCCCTTTCAACGCTACAGTTCCAGGATTCTAAGAGTCCTGCTGGATCAGGCCAATGGACCATCTAGTTCAGAATCCTCTTCTCACACTGGCCTACCAGATGCCCCAATGAGAAAATTATTATTATTATTATTATTATTATTATTATTATTATTATTATTATTACCCCGCCCATCTGGCTGGGTTTCCCCAGCCACTACAGGCAGCTCCCAACAGAATATTAAAACCACAATAAAACATCAAACATTAAAAACTTCCCTAAACAGAGCTGCCTTCAAGTGTCTTCTAAAAGTCAGATAGTTGTTTATTTCCTTGACATCCGATGGGAGGGCATTCCACAGGACAGGCACCACCACCAAGAAGGTCCTCTGCCTGGTTCCCTGTAACCTCACTTCTTGCAGCGAAGGAACTGCCAGAAGACCGTTGGAGCGGGACCTCAGTGTCTGGGCAGAACAATAGGGGTGGAGACGCTCTTTCAGGTATACTGGGCTGAGGTCATTTAGGGCTTTAAAGGTCAGCACTAACACTTTGAATTGTGCTTGGAAACATACTGGGAGCCATTGTAGGTCTTTCAGGACCAGTATTATATGGTCTTGGCGACCGTTCCCAGTCACCAGTCTCTCTGCTGCATTCTGGATCAGTTCCAGGTCATCTTCAAAGGTAGCCCCACGTAGAGCACATTGCAGTAGTCCAAGTGGAGGATAACCAGAACATGCACCACTCTGGAGAGACAGTCTGCAGGCAGGTAGGGTCTCAGCCTGTGTACCAGATGGAGCTGGTAGACACCTGCCCTGGACATAGAATTAACCTGCAAGCAGGACCTGAGCACAAAAGCGGTCTACCCAGATGCAGCTTCCAGTAGCTGGTATTCAGAAGCATTATTGCCTCTGACCATTTGGGCAGGGCATTGCATAGCCCTGAGTATAGCTAATAACCATTACAAGCCTTATCAAACAGGTTCTAGCACCGCAGCTGAATGGCAGGATGCTACAGGAGCATTTGAAAGAAAGGAGATGGACCATAGTGATCCTATTCAATTCTTCTCACACCTAAGCTATTTTTTTTTTTAGTTAAATAAAAATTCCAGGCACCAGGATGTCTTTATATGATGCTTTTAGCAGTGTGACTCCAGTTCTCTGCATTTCTCTTCTCTTAGAAGTGAAGAAAGACCCAACATTGTGAACACATGGGCAACTTAAAAAGCATCTAGGCCGTTCTTTTTCTCAATTCAGATACAGGCTGGTTGGCGTAAAAATGCATCAAATGCAGAGTTTGATAGGAAAACACAGTACAAGTGCAGGATAGATGTGGACTGTGGCTAACACTGTGTTTACACCATTTCCCAAACCAATGGTGAGAGTAAACCAGAGTGTGTGTACACAGCCATTGTTACACTTTCAGAGCTTGTGTAATAGATTTCTTTTCACCGCTTTCCAGATCAACCTATGTTATTTCTGTAATTTGTTTTCTTTGTTGGTTTTGCTGTTTTATGATTGGCATTATGCTTTATTTTCTGTACGCTGCTCTCTGAATATTCATTGAACGTGAAAAAAACACAGTTAATAATTTTGAAATATATAAATATCTGTGGCATAGCCACATCTGAAATACTTTGCAGAGACCTGGACACACACCCCAGCGTGGGTGGCGCTGTGGTCTAAACCAGGGGTCGGCAAGGTTTATCTTGCCTGGGCCAGATCGGTCCCGTAGAGAGCCCTCCGTGAGCCGGATCGCACACATGCCTGCGATTTTCGGCATTGGCATCTGCGCAGACAAGATTTCTGGAGCCACAGAAGCGAGTCCTCATGCCGCGCTGCACCAGTTTAGCACAGCGCATGAGTGGGCAATGACCTCCGCGAGCCACTTCTGTTCCATGGGTTGCTGACCTCTGGTCTAAACCACTGAGCCTCTTGGGACCGCCAATCAGAAGGTTGGTGGTTCAAATCCTTTTGAAAGCACACCAGTGCAAGTAGATAAATAGGTACCACTGTGGCGGGAAGGTAAACAGCATTTCTGTGCACTCTGTTTCTGTCATGGTGTTCCGTTGCACCAGAAGTGGTTTAGACATGCTGGCCATATGATCCAGAAAGCTGTCTGTGGACAAACACCAGCTCCCTCAGCCTGAAACCAAGATGAGTGCTGCAACCCCATAGTCGCTTTTGACTGGACTTAACCGTCCAGGGGTCCTTTACCTTTACTTACCTTTACACATCCACAAGCTTAAAAGGGTTGTTAAAACAGCTGGAAAAGGTGCAGGAAGAAACACAATCAATTTTTTTTAGAAGAGTCAGAAATCACATTTCTTATGAGCAAAAGCTGAGTCATTTGAGACATTTTACTTTAGTGTGGGGACAGGCGGGCAGGGAGAGGGGGCCAGCTGCAATTCTGTACCCATTTACCTGGGAGTAAGCCCCACCAAGACAATGGGACTTACCCTGGAGCAAACAGGGATAGGATTCTGCTGCAAGGCGACAATCCTATGCGTGTTTGTTGTTCCACAGGTAAAGCCTGGGGATCATGCTGATCACCACTATGACCGTTATGAGGAATAAAATGAAGAGCTAGAATTAGATCTTATAGGAGCCCAACCTGCAGATCAGGAAACCCCTCACTTACTCTCACCTCTGCCACAAACTCACTAGGTCGTCTTGGGAAGCTTCCCTTTGGCCTCATTCCACCACCTGCCGTTTTGCAGTTGCTAAGGCCTACTCTGTAGGGTTGTTGTGCAGATTGCACCAAGGAGATGCTCATGAAATGGTCTGAAGACTCAGAAGTCCTGTATATATACCCAGCAGTTATGAAGTGCCTGTAGCATCCAATCCAAGGGGTGTGTCCCTTTTTGGAATGCACTGCTTTGAATGATACTCCACCATCCCTGGTGCCCATGATCAAGAATGTCTCTGTCTCTGTTTTGTTGTTGTTTAGTCGTTTAGTCGTGTCTGACTCTTCGTGACCCCGTGGACCAGAGCATGCCAGGCACTCCTGTCTTCCACTGCCTCCCGCAGTTTAATCAAACTTATGCTGGTAGCTTTGAGAACACTGTCCAACCATCTCGTCCTCTGTCATCCCCTTCTCCTTGTGCCCTCCATCTTTCCCAGCATCAGGGACTTTTCCAGG